TGCATAACTTTGTAACTGAATTTCAATTCAGGAGAAACTTATTGTAACCTGATCGTCCTTACTTGTGGGACGAATCAGCTTATTGTAATTCACTCAACACTAGTGGAATTTTTCAACTGGGAGCAGCCCCGTGGTTTTCCTCTTTTCAGGATTTTCCACGTAAAAATCATGGTGTTCATTTTCATTTTCTGTTTGTGTGCTGAATATTCGTACAATACTCAGATGTAAAATTACAAACCCTACCGCCGCGTATATTCTAGCCCGCAACAGTTAGAAAACAACTTAATTATGAAATAACTAATTAATTTTAATTTTTATTATATTAATATTTATGTGTTAATTATTAATTATTAATTTTTATTATCATTACTAACTAAGCATTATAAATAATATAATTAGAATTGAAGCTAATTATCAATTAATCTAAGAAATTATTTGTTTATTAATTATATTATATTCTTAATTAATTTTAATTAAACTAGTTAAGCTTAATTAACTTGTTCCTATATTATATTTCTCTGGCAATGCCTGTTCTACTTTATCTTCTTATAGTCATAGGTTTGCTTTTTCTCTTCCCTAGCTATTCGTTGCACGTCGACTTTGCTTGTTTCATGTGAGAGGTAGAGTTTTCAAGGAGTTGCTAAATATCATCTTCGCCTCCTTCGACGATATTCCTTCTTGTCCAATCCGAAGTCACACCTCTTGTTGTTCTTTTGTTGGATCTTACTTCCTTTTGTGCGCTTATTCAACCAAATCTCATAAATCCGTTGAACTCCCAAGTTTAGTAAATCCAAGATTTACAACAAAAAGAGGAAAATGGATGAGATTTAACTCGATATGAGATTTAACAGTTCCCTAAATTCTGTTTGGTAGGATTTAGCATAAGTCCTGCTCAAATCCTGTATCCAAATAACCCATTAAAGCTACTAGTTGTGCATCATTAAAAGGAGTATTTCTAGACTCATGATGTAGATATATCATTGTAAGGTAATTAATATTGCAAGTTATTTAGTTGATATAATAATGATTTATTTCTTAAATGAGTTAATGCAATAGTTAAATTTCATTTTCATTTAGGTAGATAAATTATTAGATGCTATTAAATTTAGATATTTTGATGGCATTATTGGTAGACACATATTATGTAATCATGCTTATACTTAGTAGAATTAATACTAAAATTGTCACCTTACCCTGCCCTATTTGGTTTCTGTAATATTCTTTCAAAATACGTGATAGGTTCAAATCATAATCATCAAAGCTAATTCATCTTTTTTTGGGACATTTAAGCAATTAAAAGTGAACTCACACACATAACACATACGCAATACTCAAACCAAATACCTTTTAATTGATAGACGAAGCTCCCAACAAATATATCAAGATAAGCTGCATAAGCTAGTTCATCAAGAATTAAAGATACATACCAATTATCATATTAAGACCGAAAATGTACAGATCTTGATATTGGCATCAAATTTGAGCTCATTTTTATTATATTTTTAGTAGTTTGAAAATCCAAAATTTTATTTAAATATCTTGACATCCAATATTGATTTATATAATTTATCATAAGTTTTTCTTTTCTTTCTAAATTTCTTTACTTAAAATTTTAGCAATTTTTTAAATATTATCACTTCCAACAAAAAAAAGGGACTTTAAATACCCAAAAGACAATTTTACCTTGCTACTTTATATTTGAATGGCTTGCAAAAAATCAAAAATGGATTTCAAGTCATCATAATGCCAACTTACCATGTAAACTTAGGCTTCGTATGTGACGGCTTTTTTTCTGCTTCTTAAAGCAGCTTTCTAGTACAAAATTTTTTATTTTTATACTAAGAAGTTGCTTTAAGAAGTAATAAAAAAACCGTCACAAACGAAACCTTAGTCATGAAAATAATTTATCTAATGCTCAAAGATTAATTTGGTCCATTCATGATTAAATAATACATTTGAAATATTACTTTTAGGCAGTTATCTTCCCATGATATGTAAAATATTAATTTAATTAATTATAGCATTTTAAATAATTTCCATAATAACTATTCCTCATATTTCAAGTAAAAAAATTAATTTTAATTAATATTTTTTAGCCAATTATCAAAATTTCCCTCACCTGTGGCACATGCATTGAACTTAAATTTTCTAACCTGGTGCACACCAACTCAGTGTCATTTTGCTTTTAATTATTATCCAGAAGTTGAAGGGAAGGTAATTATGCATAAAGGTTTTTTCTCTTATAAAAACCTAAAGAAAACCATTTCAATCTTGATTTCATCTTTATTTCAATGTGGAGGTTGAGCATGGAGGGCTAAAGAAGAGGTATAGAAGAAAGTAGATAAAAAATCATTTTTAGAGGTAGCATTTGGCATTAAGTTATAAAACTTTTGCTCTATTAGAGAAAAGTTTAATTCATTATTACCGACAATTTATGTTTGATGGTTCGATGAATTATGTGATAATGATGATTTGTAATGCTTTTTTATAAATCCATCATAATCCTTATCTTGATTTGCAAGTATCTAGTGTTATGTAAATGTGAAATATGTCATTTTTCATGTTCCTACATATTTTCATTATTGGTTTTTACAACTTGACATGAAAATCTATGCAAAATTCATCAATGACTTTGAAGCATATGATGTGTGCATATCTATCTTTATATATTGACAAAATGTCCTATTGTTCCTCATACACAACATGACACAAGTAGTGTACTTGACAATTTTTTTCATTCTCTAATTTACACTTAATTAAACATTATGTTAGCTTTTTAATTTCATCAATCATGAAAATAGTATTTTGCATGTTTTGTTTGACATAAGAATGGCATGAAAATTTATGTTGCATGTCTTAAACATAATTTACATGATATTATTAATATAATAGTACATTTTTTGAAAAGCAATTTATCATATTATTTAGATTTTGTGTATGAATAGGAAAATTATGGGCTTATCCACATGTGGTCTGTGCTATCTTGCCCTGTAATAAGTCAAATTAATAAGTTTGTCTTAAATGATTATAAAAGAGTAGTGAAGGCAAGCTTCATATTTGATGTATAGAAAAAGTTCAAGGTATTAAGGACATCTCCAATCGAATGTCAAACGAGTGTTTGAAGTCGCCTCAAACTCCAACCGAATGTCATCTTTAGTAGCATTTTGGCGTCACGCTGTTCACAAATGTCATTTTTTTGTCAGGAGAATAATATACTCGGCATATTCTTTTTTGATGTTATGAAATTGAGTTTGGTTGGAGACGAATTACTGCATTTTCTAGCATAAAATAAATTTTTCTGTTGTACATGTTCTAAGCTGACGGCATATGATATGATGCATGAGACATCTCTTTTAAGGAGGGAATTGCTAATAATATGAGTACCTCTTAATATTATGCATATATTAGGGAAGACTAGTCGAAGCGCATCAAAATGCCAGCTCTAGTTCAACCTCTGGGATTATTATATGACATGAACAAAATGAAAATTATAATAATAAAAAGGGATATAACAACATTGTCATTTGCTTTTTATGAGTTAATATTAAATGAAAGAAATCATAAATGTGATCACTGGTATAATAGTTTATGTGCTATTATAAATGACACTTCATTCATACTTTGATTATTACCTGAGCTATAATAATAACAAAATAATTATTTCTACATATCTCATTACCCTACATGTTTATCATTATGATTGGGAAATAAAAAATGATATTGCATATCATAACTAATTGATAGCACATGACATGTGATAATTTCTTCGTATTAGACCAATCATTTTATCAAATATATGTTTTGTGAGTGAGTTGTAAGGAAATGATAAATGATCATGAATGTTGTTTAATTCATTGCACAACAGAATTCAATTGTTTTTTATTTTTTCACAAGATTTTATTATGCTCTCATATCACTACATATAGTTGCCTGTATTATTTCAGAAAAAGATAAAGACTTCTTGAATATTAAAACTATAGGCTGAGCTAATCTTAATCATGAAATACAATATTATATATTTTTGATTTCCCTATTGTATATGTTGATAAAATAAGAGATATGTACCATAAAATATTATTAGTCATATCTATGATAGATGTAATTAGAAGTTTTTCTTATGAATATTAGTGTCTCTATGTATGTGTCTAACGATATCAGTCCATCATGCAATATTAACTAAAAAACGACAAAATATTGAATTTTCTTTATGAAATCTAATGTTGATCTGATGTTGTAATTGATTATATTATTTGCAAATCATTTCGCCACTCTTCATCATGGGGTATGTTGTGTATCAAGAAGAGGCATGAGATTTAAATTTCCATGTTATCTTTATTAAGGAATTAGATATATACAAACAGTAACGATTGTAATATTTTCTAATTGATTAAATACAATTACAAATAACCTCTCCTAGTTCCATATCTATTATCAAAATTATTTTCTAGAATTATTTAGTTAAGCCTCTATCCAATAATTCTTCACAATTCTCACTGTAAGTCTCAAATAAAAGAGATCGCATCATCCAACAAGATGTATTCCTATAGTCTTGGATCCCTGAGCAATGTCTTCTCAATCTCGCATGAGGTATTGCAATTCCTCCCCTACCAGAGAATTGCACGAGAAAGAAAGGGAGAACACAAGGACACCCAAAATAGCTTTAGCAGGATCATCATGAAGGGTTGATTATCAATCATCACCGCCAAACAAGCATGACATTGGATTAGAAAGCCCTAATCTTGCATGACTATATATAAACCCTAAGCTATTTGCATGCATGGAAAGTCATCTACCCAAGAAAACCTTAGAAACCCAGTTACAAAGAACACCCTTAGGTTCACAGTGTCGTTTCTGACTCAATTTGATATCAAATGCAACTATACTATGATATTAGATCGATTTTGGATCAATATTGGCCACTCCAATCATACTTCAGTAATCAAATATACCCCCACCTTTAATACAAGGTTGGCCCTAAACTTGGAGAAATGCTGAGAAGATTTGGGAATCATTGTGAACTATATGAGAAAATCACAATCATTTTTAAACTCTACAAAAAATTTCAAATCAAAGATATCGTCATCATTGACCTCAGAAGAACAAAACCAGTGCCTGGCGAAGGTCAATCTAAACAGTCCTGCAGCTTATAATACAATTGCGGAGAAGAAGCACCTCTTTCCCACGGCCTTAAGACGGCTGTTGTTCCAACCAGCTCCTTCTTCATAACATTCAATCTGTTAAAACAAAACGGACGCACAAAAAGAGTGTTTTAAAATCAAAGATCATCAAACATAACTAAAAAATTAAATTTGAGATTAGAGACTGCATACAGTTTCTATCATATTTTCACCATTTTCAATTCCACCAATGATGAATACAGAATTGCCAAGAAGTGCAGAAGCACCATATCCTCTATTGCACTTCATTGGTTCACCAGGCATCCAAGCATTAGCACGAGGATCATATATTTCAACACTGGATACCATTTTGCCACCATCATAGCCACCCATGACAAACCTAATCAAGAAATTTACAGGTTAAAACTTATAAATGCCAAAGTTATAAGATGAACAATGTATGGTTTTCTTAGAAGGCATCTCAAGCAATATGCAGTTGTACAACTCACAGTTTCTCGTTTAAAACTGTCATTGAGTGACATCCCCTCCTGGTAATCATGTTAGGTATTCTTGAACATGAAACCTCCCGTGGATCAAGTCTTTCAGCTGAGCTGAGCAAAGGATAGAAGGCATATAAGTGCATGTGAATTTTAAGTATATAATTTATGGTGCATTTATTAAGCGAAATTGTCTTTCTGGTTAAAAGAAGACAACATCAAGCCTTTGTCCCACTACATGGGGTCGCCTACATGAATCCTTTTTTCTCCATTATGTCCGATTAAAAGTCAAAATCTCATTTAAGGCTTCGTTTGGGATGGCTTTTTTATTGCTTTCTAAAACGGAGTTTTAATACACATTTTTTTATTTTTGTATTAAAACTCCGTTTTAGAAAGCAGTAAAAAATCCGTCCCAAACAAAGCCTAAATCTAATAAAGAAAGATCATTTCTAACCAAATCTTATTTTCTAACCAAATCTTATTTTCTAAACACTGCCGTTGCCAAATCCAAAGTTCTGAATGAGAAAAGTAGAGAATTGCATTAGATAGTCGACAGCCAATGTAAAACATATCAAATAATCATGACATAAATCCTTTAAAAAATTGTGTTTAAAAGAAGGCATGAAAAAAAAAAATATTTTACTAGGTCATGACTGGAGGATGAAATGACAATTACAGGTGTAGAAAACTAGACCAAGAAATGAGTAATCAATGCAAACCGAATGATGTATTCAAGTCAGTTCTTAATTGGTGATTGCTCGGATTAAGTTCCAAAAATACACATAACACATATCCAACTACGCAAACCGCATATACCAGCTTAATTCTCAATTATAGGACCTATTTATCACGAACTCACATTTTGTTAAACGCTCAAGTCTAAAAAGATGCAAGATGAGTGGAGAATGACTGTGTTAATTCCTATTTTTAAGAATAAGGTGATGCACAAGATTGTGCGAATTATAGAGGAATTAAATTAATGTGTCATACTTTAACTATAGGAGCGAGTTATGGAGCATAGGTAGCGGCGTGATACTAATGTTTCTCAAAATCAATTTGGATTCATGCCTGGTAGGTCTACTATGGAAGCCTTACATTTATTGAGAGGTTTGATGGAGAAATATAGAGAGAATAAGTTGGATATCCATTTGATATTTATTGATTTAGAGAAAGCATATGATAAAGTTCCAAGAGAAGTGCTATGGAGAATTCTTGAAAAGAAAGGAGTTAATATCGCTTATATTCAAATCATTAAAGATATGTATCCATGAGCTATTACTTGTGTTCAAACATAAGGTGGTTTGACCAAGTATTTTCCTATTTCGGTTGGATTACATCAAGGATCAGCCTTAAGCGCATATCTTCTTGCTTTAGTCATGGATGTTCTCACTAGACATTTGCAAGAGGATGTATCTTGGTGTATGCTTTTTGCTGATGATATTCTTCTTGTTAATAAGACTAGAGAGGGAGTTGAAGGAAACTTAAATTATGGAGGTAAACCTTAGAGTCTAAAGGTTTTCACTTGAGTAGAGCTAAAACTGAATATATGGAGTGTAATTTTAGTAGCAATAGACCTAACGAGGAGATTGTGACTATGGGTGATCAAGTCATTAATAAGAGTTCACGTTTTAGATATCTTGGATCTATTGTCCAGAGTGATGGTGAAATAGATGAGGATATTATCAGCAGAATTCAAGTTAGATGGTTGAAGTGGAAGAATGCATCGGGCTTGTTGTGTGATAGAAAAGTCCCCCTCAAACTTAAGGGAAATTCTATAAGACGGTAGTGAGACCTGTGCTTTATGGTGTCGAATGTTGGCCATTAAAAGAGAGGCATAACACTTAGTTAAGTGTTGCAGAGATGAGGATGCTCAGGTGGATGAGTGGCTTTACCTTTAGAGATAGGATACGAAATAACAATATACATGAAAAGTCTGGAGTAGCTCCAGTGAAGATAAGATTACAGAGAGTCGCCTTAGATGGTTTGGTCACATTATACGGAGGCCTTCCGATGACCCGATTAAGAAAGTTGAGGTATTAGATTTGACTTACGTTAAGAAAGGTAGAGGTAGACGTAAAAAGACATGGTTAGAAATTATTGGAAATGATCTTTCTTTATTAGATTTAAATGAGAATTTGACCTTTAACAGAACACAATGGAGAAAAAGGATTCATGTAGCCGACCCCAAGTAGTGGGATTAAGGCTTATTGTTGTTGTTGTTATAATAATATTAATAATAATAATAATCCATTTGTTCTTAGGTGGATACATTCTAAAACCGAGTAAACCGCATTGATTAACATGAAAGTGATTAACAGGTAGTGAGGCATAAAACCACTTTACTTCAAGTAATTATGTCCATCATATCCACCAACAGCATATAGCACGCCATTTAGTTCAGCTGCAGCAGGGGCAAACCGCTGGAAAAGGATCAATAAGGTGGACAGTCAGCTTTGAATTGATAATAAAATGATTGGCATAAGGAAGTTCAGGTAAAGCAAATGAGCCTCCCGTTAAACAAATTAAAAATTGATTTTTATTAGCAAATCGTGATTATAACTATACAGATTAGTAAAAAAGGTTTGGGTTATGATTTTCTCAGCTGCTTTATTTTCTAAATGAAGCATGTCTACAGTAAAATAGCCTATATGCACCTCGATGGCAAAGCACTGTATATTTACCAGTGGAGTTTTAATAAATATTTCATGTATTTTGATTTCAAAGGTAGCCAAAAATTTTAATTGAAAATCACATTCAAATTATTGATGAAGATGCACTCAAAAATCATAACTGACACAATGTCCAGATATATCACCATTTTGAAACCTAACATATATGTAAGATATCTAACCGTCTAGAATTTTTTAATATAACCGATCATGAAATGCACAAAAGGTCAATTCCACAGTAACAGACTTCTAATTTAGACAACCCTTTGTCAGTTTAGACTAAAACTAGAAATGCATTAAATTTAAGCAAACAATAATTTAATAGTTATCTAATAAAAATCTTGCATAAACATTTTGGGTCACAAAAAATACATGTTCAATCGGAAACTGTTGCAACTAAAAAATTAGATTGTAGCATATTTGAAATAATCAATCATACAAACAACCCAATCGCTAAATCAGATAATTCAAATAAAGCAAAAAAAAAAAAAAGACCAAGTAAAAATCCAGATTGTCAATTTGCTGATGTTAATGAATACTTCTTGTATTTCTAGTGAATATAAACTTTAAGATCCGCATCACACATACTGCACGGCAAAGAAGAGAAATTGTTTACTTCTTATCGTCTTGATCTTAGCCTTTACTTCAGCGTGGTTATGTAGTGCACGACAAGCATCTTGCTAATTCTAGCATTTTCTAGCCTAGTATATTTTTAATCAGGTTAAATTTCAAAATAGTCCCGTGACTATTTCTATATGTGGGCTCCAAAAATTCAGCCCCGGCCTCTGAATATTGCAAGAGCCCGAGCCGGCATCAGTCTGATTTTCGTAGCATCTGAGAGAGGCATAATGAGGGTTTCATTCAGTTTGACTGAATCTCGGACCAACAATAAAGCTGAGTACGAAACTCTAATAGCAGGACTGGAGATCGCGGTTGATGTCAGAATCCGAAATCTCTAAATCTTTGGTGATTCTCAACTTGTGATAAATCAGGTCATCGGAATTTACAAGATTAACAAAGTTGAATTGACTCATTATCACCGGCGAGCCCTTGAGCTTTTGTAACAAGTACCAAATGTTGAAATAGCTCGAGTTCCTCGAGGACATAATGATAAAACAGATTGTCTGGCTAAATTAGCCAAGGATGTGGCAAATACTGACAAGGATATGCCTATGCCAATCATGGTTCACGGCCGTCGCATCTTAGAGCCGGCAATCCTCCAATTCCCGTAGGCAGACAAAATACAGAGCCAAGCCAGCAGGATACAACCCCAGTATTGACCACACTAAGAGGTGCCATGGTGAGGGATTGTATTGACCACACTAAGAGGTGCCACGAATGTCAAATCAACGGTGATGTTATACATCAGCCTCCAAATCCACTGCACCCAACAGTAGTATCCTGGCCATTTAAATGCTGGGGCACATATATAATCGGACTGATAGATCCGCCGTCTTCAGCAGGACACTGCTTTATTCTAACAGCAACATACTAATTTTCTAAGTGGGCAGAAGAAGCTCCATTCAAAGAAGTCACGTATGAGCATGTGATCAACTTCTTTACCCACAATGTTGTCTATAGATTTAGTGTGCCATGTCGCATAATCTCATACAACGGTATTGCATTCAAAAGTACAAAAAATTATAAGTTCGTTGATAGGCACAAGATCGATTGGAGGCATTCATCAATATACAATCGAAGAGCAAATGGCCTAGTAGAGACCTTCAACAAGACGTTAGTGAAATTATTGAAAAAGATCCTCACCAAAAATAAAAAAGAGTGGCATACGAAAATGACAGAAGCACTATGGGCATATCGTATAACTTACAAGACACCAACAAAGCCACTCCTTATTCATTGATATTCAGAGTTGAAGCAGTATTGCCAGTAGAAATTGAACTACCGTCACTCTGGGTAGCAATCTAGAATGATTTCACTAAAGAGCACAATGCTCGCTTGAGAATGGAAGAGCTCGACGCACTTGAGGAACTCAGGTTGCAAGCTTAACAAAACTTTGAAATATATCGAGGAAGAATGGCAAAATCCTTTGATCGAATGGTGCGCCCTCGGCATTTCAAGAAGGGGAATTGGTCCTAGTACTGAGAAGGCCGATCATCCCACATCGAAAAATCGCTGGCAAATTCGTATCCAACTGGGAAAGACCTTTCGTCATCGAAAAGGTATACCAGGGAAGAGCTTATCAACTTATCGATCTGAATGGTCAGAGGCCCATGCCGCCGATCATTGGTCGATACTTAAAGAAATACTATACATGAAATTGCCCGAGAAAATCTTATGTTTAATACGTTATATTTGTGTACATGATTATAAGAGTATACATTTCATGTTTTAAAATTCTCCTGTATTATGAGAATGTATTTCAAAATCCCCCATCAGATTGGGGGTATTTTAAATATTTATTTGGGTTGACATCATGCTATGCACCGAGATCCCCAAATAAATATTTAAAATCTCAGAATTTCAAATTTATTCCATTCTAAAATGTCCCTTCAAAACAGAGACAATTTTTATTCGGGTCGACATCGCGCTGCATGCCGAGATCTCCGAATAAATATTTAAAATTATTAATTCAAATGTTATTTCATGCTAAAGAATACAAAAACTTCTTTTTCAAAGTATATGCAGGTAATCTTTCAAAAGCTAGAGACACCACTTTCTCCAATGTGTCAAGATTCAAAAGTCAAGAAAAAGACTTTTGTGCCTACACACTCCTACAAATTGAGTCGAAGAAGCTTGAAGTCTTTCGACAGCATAAAGCTTAAGGTTCAAATGGGTGTAAAAGGTCGGATCCAACAAGCCCAAATATGATCGGATCGCTGGCAGCTCCGTCTACTCAACAATCCATAAAAAATGCCGTAGTAGCGGAACCCCCACTTCATCATCCCGTCAGTAGGGACTGCAGGAAGAACGAAGGCCAATTTGACTCGACCAGTTCTAGTAGTCGTAGTCCACCGAATTCTCCCAAATGACAAGAGAATCAAAGTTCTAACGAGGAATCTCGAGCAACCACCGAATGTGCGTAGGCTCCAAATCTTCAACCACAAAGGAGAACTCCAAATCTACCAACTTCAGTAAAATCAGTATTGGGAAGCGCATTTCCCATATCTCAAGTCTGAAGCCTGAATGGGTGTAAGAGGTCGGATCTAAAAAGCCCAGATATGACCGGATCACTGGAAGCTCCATCTACTCAACACGCCATAAGAAAGGCTGTAGTAGAGGAACCCCTATTTCAACAACCAGAGGACGAAAAGCTATCAAATCCTAGCTCTCTCGATCTGATGAACTCAAGTGACTCATATTAAATTCTCCTCAAGTGATTAATGATTAAGATACTACCGACATTTGGTACTATCAACCGAATCCGAGACCTGCAAATTCTTCAACAAGTCTATCAAAGCATAAAGCAAAGGACCGAAAAAAATATTATACAGTTCACGCAAAGCCTAAGGCCGAACTAAAAGGATTTCGTCATCAACAAGTCCGCTATGCACAAAGCACTGGACCGATGACTTCTCGCCACTGTCCTAATATGAACCTAAAAGGTTTAAGTTACCAGCATCTACTTCTTCATCAAGCCCGCCAAAGCAAGAAGCATAGGGCCGAAGGAACACACATTTTCTACAAACCACTATTGATAAATCAGGTAATCCTCCATCAATGTCCGCAGCAACAGGGCAGAAGAGATCAAAATCTCACGATTCAATCTAAAACTACGAAAAGAAGCATCCTGAATGATGTCTACAAGCGTCTTTAAAGGCTGAGGGCATTTTTTAAATATTTATTTGGGTTGAAATCTCCAAATAAATATTTAAAAACTTTCTAAGATACAACTAGAGGAGAGAAGAATGGAAGATCCTCTGTAAACTGAATGTACTATCAACAAAAATATAATTTGACCAAGATACGATCAATATAAGAGACAACAAAGTCCCACCAGATGATGAATCTATAGAATTCAGATAAATCTCGAATGATATCAGTAATATATAACAAAAATATTACATCTATACATGATTGTGGTAATGAAGAGGTTGGACAATTATAAAAATGTTGAAAACCAAAGTGATAGTGATGCCAAAAGAAGAACATAAAGTGTCAATGTTATATACTATCGTCAATCTATGAAATAATACTCTAGGGGCCTAAGTACAAAGTATTCTATCACTACCCCGTATATCTCCACTTGATCAAGAGCAAATAAATCAACTATATTAAAGATTACGAGTGCATCTAAAGATATATGAAAGCACATGGATAGATTCTCAGAGATCTACAGAATGAAAATCTCAATGTGACATCCAAGTAAACATTTGGAGATCCACTCAATAAAATCTTAGTGTGACATCTAGAATAAATATTTAGAGATCCACATGATCAATCATCATACAACAAATGTGATTCACCCTAGACATGAACCACATTTGTTGGGGGGCATTTTTTGACCTCTGCCATTGAAACAAAAAAACCAGAGAAATAAAAAAAAGCTCAAAATGATTACCTGCTGTCGGCGAACCATGCCGAGATCTCGCCCAAATCTTGTCGAATCTGCGGCGTATACAACGCTAAATACCTTGCAAACGGCGTGTCTCATCTCTCGCATACGCTATCACTGCCCTTCTTGTAGTTAAAATGCAAGCAAACGAAGCCAAAGGCTTCGACGATCTCTTCTTCTTTCCCACACGCGATCTTCAGCAACCCAACTCTTCTTTCATTTGCAAGCTCTCGCGTCCGCTGGCTCTG